GACCGAAAAAAGAAAGGGTAAACTTATGTTCAGGAAGTAACTCGATAATTCCAAAGTTCGTAGTTGACAAATTATAGCTCTGTTAACATTAAATGAGATTTTTTTCCTGAGATAATCTCATCAGTGCTAATTGTTGAATATAGTTGCAGAAGTGGCAATCAAAGGCAGAACTTGGGGGTTAAAGGATACCCTTCCACTTACATGGCCACATTCTCAAATTATCAAGACTTTGGCCTTTAAATATTGAATATTAAACAGGAGTAACACCTGATAACTCATTTGTCTAAGTGTCAGCATAGTTGGCATGCCAGAAACAATGTTTTCTTGTATTATTAACAAGATTATATAGAAATTGAACATCCTTCTGAATAACACAGTAAGAACTGAAAAATTCCTGCATGTGGGAGTAATTATCTTTAGCCAGCTCTTCCATAGTGGGAAAACAGCATGTAATGAAGCCAATCAATTCCTGGTTTTTAATAAAAAACCGCTATAATGGATTGCTTAAAACCATGTCCTTTTGGTTCTCGTTGCTTTTGTAGGGCATGGAGGGTCAGGAACTGCCTTATGTGCTAATTGACTGTATAGGAGGGATGCATGGAGTATATGAAGACCATGTTGGATTTCTGCAGAAACATTTTCATCTCATCACCATGAAAGAATATCTTGAAAATAAGACATTTCTCAGCAAAAAGATCAGAGCTATTTATATGTGGTATCACAAACCAGTTGTTAACAAAGAGCTGCTCCAGAGCTTGCCGAACTTGAGGATAGTTGCAAGTTCTGGAGTGGGAATAGATCACTTGGACCTGAACCTCCTCTCTAGCTTTGGTGTGAAAGTGTCCAACACTCCATTTATTGTTTCCACTGACACTGCAGACCTGGGAATGGCTCTGATGCTGGCATCTTCCAGGAGACTTGTGGAAGGTAATAACTGAAATGGCTTTAGTGTTTTTATAGAAAAAGTGACTTCAAAACCTGCAGAAAGTGTGTGCTGATGCAAAGGTAAGCTTAAAAGTAGAAATGTGGAAAGTGCAGGACAAGGAAAAAGTTATCTGTCTTATTAACAATAACTTGCATTTCCAAAAAGGCATATCAGCAAGGTAGATGTGTTTTTTCTTCAGACAGCCCTAAATTCAGGCCTCTTCTCCCTCAGCCCACAGCCACTTATTCATTGATTTTGTTCACTTCAGCTTTGCTTTTCAAGTTATAATAAAAGGGGATTAAAAGGAGATATTTTCAAGGAGGCTTGAAACCTGTCTTTGCCACGCTGCCATGTATGTGAGTTATCACAAACAAGCTGTCCAGAAATCTGTCCACCATGCTCTGTGTTTCTTTTCCTTGCCAACCTTGGTGTATCTTCAAGGTTGCTGGGCATGGTACGGCCTTCCTAAAAGTCTTGATGATCCCACAACTAATCCATCAGTTCCACCATTCAGTATTTACAATGTCAGTGACATCTATGGCACTGCCACTTTCATTACCCCTGCTGATGAATAAGAAGCTGAGGTGCATTTCAGTTGTGCAATAATCTGTACTGCAGGCAGAGAGAGATGATGGGCAGGGTGTGTGATGTACATCCAAGGGAGGTTGCTGCTTTGGCCTTACCTCCCTTGTCTGCCAAAGAGAGGCTGGATATGTTTCCATCCTAAGCAAGAAATCAGTCAGCAGTCATGTACAGTGCAGTATTATTCACTTTTTGTCCAGAAACACGATGACATTTTGTTGCTGCTTCTGTACTTCTGCTTGTCCTACAACAAAAAGTGGGAAAAAAAGTAACCAGATGCCAGAACATCCTTTAAATGACATACTTCCTTCTTTTCCTCCTCCAAGGCTACGAGATGGCAGTCTCCCCTGACACAGAGCATTTCCCTGCTGACTGGCTGGGGGCTGAGGTTTCTGGAGCGACCCTGGGGATTGTGGGAATGGGCACCATTGGTTACAAAGTGGCTGAAAGAGCCAAAGCCTTTGAAATGAAGATTTTGTATCACAACAGGAGTCAGAGGTAAAGCTGGTTGCAGCTCCGTGGCAACTGCTTTTAAACGTTATTTGTACCTTTCACTATGCTTTCACTTTTCACTGAGCTCTTTAAGTGCCAAAATACATACACTTCTTTCAGGATGGTCATTAATTTCCCAGTTTATACAGAAAGAAAGTCAGCAAGGAATGGGAGAGATATATCTCACTGGTCTCCCTGTGAGTTGGGACTCCCTGATCCTGCCTGTCATGGTGGTGACATTACAGTAGACTAAGGAAAGGAGAAAACTGTCTGGGAGGACATAACTCCTGCAACTTAGGTGAGGCAGGGATTCAGGCAGAGACATCTCACCCTTCCAGAGCCAGCTGATAATGAAAAGCCAGACTTGCCAGTCTGTTTACTGTCTTCTAGCTGAGGTCTATGTGCTCTCTGCCCCTGTGCTCCCATCAGGTCCATCCCATCCTATTCTTTTGCGGGAATCTGATGAGAGCAGTACATGCCCCAGACTTGTCCTGATAGAGATCAAATGCACTAGCAGGTCCTGCTGTGCTTGTGGTTTCAGTGAATCAGCACTGCTGCACAGAGAAATTAGGCTGCTGCTGACACAAATTTCTGAAGATTTAACCTCTGCTCTGTCTTGTGGGTTTCCTCAGCAATTTTCACATGAGTTACTTTTCCCAGAGAAGGCAATTCTTGTAATACACCAGTCTTGCTTTTGGATTGGAAAAAAATCCCTGTTACAACCAGAAGGTGTGATACAAATTAATTTATTTTATCATTCATTCAGTGCATTTACATGATACTCATTTCTTACTTTCCATCCCTACAGATATAGAACTGCACGTTTGTGTACAGTTCACTTGGTATTGTGGGAAACAGCTTAACATTTGTCTTTACTGAATTTCAGTCAGATAACCAGCTAACTGCTTTGCACTGTGGAGCGAAGAAAACAATTAAGAAACTTTTTCTCTAAGGGTGATTTGATCTTTTTCTTGTTTCTTGTGTACTGAAGTTAAATTTTGGCTTTTTCCCCCCAGAAAAAAGGAAGAAGAAAGTGCCGTTGGAGCTGTTTACTGTAAGAAGATAGATGATTTGCTCCAGCAGTCAGATTTTGTGTTGCTGGCTGTGAACCTAACTCCACAGACACACAAACTGATTGGGAAGAGGGAGCTGGAGCTGATGAAACCCACTGCTACTCTCATTAATATTAGCAGAGGTGAGGTGTGACATAAACAAAACTGCATTGAGGTTTGCTGGCATGACAAGTCCTGGGAAAACCCAACTCTAATATGGAGTCCATCACTCTAAAATTTTCCACAAATGCTCTGATTACTAGATTATTTAGATGCCTGTGGTCATATCGCAGTAAAACATTTGAGTGTTCCCATAATAACGAGCAAGCAAGTCTCTGAAATGTTAGTGAGCTTGGAGTGTTAGAAGCCCATGTATACTTACATAACCTCCTACTTAAGCTTTTTATTTATTTAATGCAGTGTTGTTGCACATTAATAATAAATAATAATAATAATAATATTATGGTGGCACAGCCTGCTATAAAGCCTGGACTATACTTTGTTTCATGCTGCTAATTCCTGACTGTTCAACACTGATGCACACACCCAAGCTTCCTCCTCCCCCTCCATCACACTCTGCTGCTGCTTCTGCATTGTGATCATGGCTAGCCCTGCTGTTTGCCTGACCACTGTGACCAAAAGGATGGTAAGAGAACAGTACAGAATATGAAAATAAACATAACCTTCTTACTGTAACCCAGGTCTGGTAGTGGATCAGGATGCTTTGGTGGAAGCCCTTCAAAACAAAGTTATTAAGGCAGCTGCTCTGGATGTGACATACCCTGAACCTTTGCCAAGGTAGGACATGTACTTAAATAAAATGAGTGTATGTGTGAGTTTCAAACTGAGTAAAATTTTGTGAGCACATGAGAAGTTGCGTGATTTTGTTAGTATGAGTATATGATGTATGTGCACTAGGACTGCTGAAACCAGGTCCCCAATCCTTCTGTCCCAGCCAAACAAAAATCACATGACTCATTTGGAGGATACGTTGCATAAAACCCCACCAACCTAGGCAGCACTTTGAACTGCTCTGAGTATGCTTGGGTCATGCAATTGTTTTTGTTTGGCGCTTTTTTTAATAATTATTTGAAATATTTCCCTGACTTACCTGCGGGTGATGAAATAGATAACGAATATGCTGTGAGTGACTAGCTCGGCATTTCTTTTCCTTTCTCAGGGATCACCCTTTGTTAAAGATGAAGAATGTCATAATAACTCCACACATCGGAAGTGCCACCAAGAAGACACGCCGCATTATGATGGAGGAAATGACAGAAAGCATACAGGCGGGCCTTGCAGGTCTTCCTATCCCTCATGAAGTGTTGCCATAACGTGGCTTGCACTTAGCATTAATGCCATTAAGTGGTTATCCTAGTGTGACAAAACAGTAATTCGATCACTTTTCATGTAATTATCCCATGAGTATTATACAGATAAAATATATAATGTTTAATTTGTTTAAATAACAGACAGCAATTCTGTGTGGAAAACCTGCAGTATTTTGTCGTGACCTTCAATGAAAAACCCCAGTCTTGCACCAGTGTCATTTATTTTGCGCACATCCCCCTACAATTGCTCATGGATGCAACACCGAATTAAAGGAACGTGTAAATCGCGACTTAGAGGAACCGCCTGGCACAGCCAGGCGTGTTCGAGCGGCTGCTCCAGCCGCTCACGCAGCAATCCTGACCTTTGGGTGCATTTTCCCTCTCCAGACACCGAGCTTTGCACAGCTGCGCCAGCGCGGGGCTCAGCTCTGCGTGTGTGCGAGCCTTCCCCCTGCCCGGGCCTCAGGTTGGCCCGTGACCGAGGGCGGCTCGGCCTCTCCCCCTCCTTCCCTCTCCCCCTCCGGGGCTGGCCCAGGCCGCCGCGCCGACAGGGGGAGCCGCCGCCGGAGCCGGGAGCTCGGTAGGGCCGGGCCGGGCTGGGCCGGGCGCCGCGGCGGAATGTGGGGCGCCCGGGCGGCGGCGGCGGCGGTGGTGGCGGTGGCGGTGCCGCGGTGGTGCCGGGCACTGCACGGCTCCGCCGCCCTGGGCGCCTCCAGGAACCTGCTGCTGCGGAAAATGCTCCGCAAGAACAAGTAGGTGCGGGGCCGGCGGGGCCCTCCTGCTGGGCCGGGCAGGGCCGTGCCTTGGCGGGGTGGTTTGTGGGCGCTGGGACAAGGGGGGCTGTGGGGTCCCCGGTAGCACGAAGGGGAATCTCCCACCCCGAGCCGCCCTACGGGCACCGCCTTCAGTGCCGCGGGGCTCTTCTGATATCGGTGCTTCGGTGTTGTGCCAAGTCACCCCCGATCTTATTTGGTCGGCAGCGGCTGAACATGAGGCAGCAGTGTGCCCGGGTGGAAGAGAAGAGCAGCTGGCCTGTATCAGCAGTATATGGTCAGCAGGACCGGGATAGTGACTGCCCCCTGTACACGGTGACACGGGTGAGGCCGCACCTCTAATCCTGTGCTCATTGTTCGGCCCCTCAGTACATGAAAGACATAGAGGTGCTGGAGCGTGTCCAGAGAAGGGCAACGAAGTTGTTGGGGGGTCTGAAGCAAAAGTCTGATGAGGAGCAGCTGAGGGAGCTGGGGGCGTTTAGCTTGGAGAAAAGGAGGCTCGGGGGGACATTATCGCTCTCTACAACTACGCGAAAGGACGTTATAGGCAGGTGGGGATTGGTCTCCCAGGTTACAAGCACCAGGACAAGAGGAAATGGCCTCAAGTTGCACTGAGGGAGGTTTAGATTAGATATTAGGAAAAATTTCTTCACTGAGAGGGAAGAAAGGTCAAGCAATGGAATAGGCTCCCCAGGAAAGTGGTGGAATCACTGTCCATGGAAGGGTTCAGAGGATGTGTACATGTGGTGCTTGGAGGCATGATTTGGTAGTGGACTTGGCAGTGCTGGGTCAATGGTAGGACTCGATGATCTTAGTGATATTTTCCAACCTTAATGGTTCTGTGACTCTGAAGAAACTTTATTCTTTCCCCCTCCTCCCCCTGCTGTCTATGTGCATGGGAAGTGTTGCTCCTGCACCCCAACTGGGGGGAAAACTACTTGTGGGCATGAAAACCTAGGTGGTGGTGTGTGCCTTCAGGGAGGTGGCATTTTAATTACACATTGTTTCTCTGAGCTGTTGAAAGATAAAGCTGATTTCCTTTCTTTTTTCCAAAAGAAAGAAGTTTTGGTATGACAGCCCTACCCTGGGATCTAAAATGGTAAGTGCAAGCTCCTAAGGTGCTATGTTCCAGTAGGAAAAAACTTGTGCTTCTGCCATTGATTTCAACCTTGGGAAAAGCATTTTCTGAGGGAGAAATGGCGGAATTTTGTGAATGTACACTGGTGCTCTAGTTTCACTGTGACATGCCAGGATTGCCATCCAGAGAAGCAGTTTGGCTCCCCAGGGCTGTTTCTTCCTCTGTATTGATTTTTCATCTGTACCAGCATCAATGCTCTCTTGCATGCTCTTGAGTACATTGCAGAGAACTGATCTATGTTAAAACTTCTACAAGCTTAGTTTAGTGAAAAAGTTTTTTAATGTTTGTTTTTCAAACAAGCAATGCTTTTCAGTCAATACATGCTGTATTTTAGAAAACAGATTTATTAACCTGTATAACTTGCTACAAAATAGTAAGGAAACTTAAGAAACTTAGACTGTAAGACACGAAAGTCAGAGATTTTATGAACAGAAATATTCTTTTTTGAAACACTTGATACATAAGACCTATATAAAACCATCACAGCTGCAATAATGACATTCTAAGAGCATACTTAGTAGAGTGCATAGAACTGTATATAGTTACCTAGTACAAGTGTGTAACTACTGATTAATGTGTTGTTTGTTTTTTAAGATGTATAAACCAACCAAGTTGGATGCCCTAATGAAAAATGAGCAGACAAAAACTAGGAAAGAAGATAACATACGCTGCAGAGTCTTGAATGGTCTTATTCATAAAGCTATGTCACAGATGGTGACTACCTGTGAAGTCAGTCAAGAATTTTATGATCTCAAGCTGGAAATCTGCAAGGCAAGTGCCAAAGCTACATCTTGTGTTAAGCCACTCTGGCTGTGCCATGAGGTCAGCATGGGCATTGTGATGTGGGCAGGGGGAGTTTTACTGCATTGCTTCTAATGCGGCAGAATGCAGCCAGATCAGGCTCTGGAGTACACACTGGGAGAGCTTTGTCACTGTTGTACCTGGCTTAGTAGACCTTTGCCTCTCTAGTGCAAATGCATCTTAGGCAAACTAAATGGTTATTCTCCTGGTATGACTTTTTTTTCCCTGTTTCTCAGACAAAAACTCTTTGCCTTGACTTTTCATTAGAAGTCTGGTTTTACCAGAGTATCTTTCCAAGAGTCTTTTCTTCTTGTAGCTGCGTGAGAGTTGTTACTTCCTTGTGTCACTCACCAGCAATATTACAGGCGAAAGACCTAAGTGAGGGATGAGCTTAGTTCAGAAAAAAGGCAAGCATAAGAAAATGTCATTGTCAAGCAAGATTCGAGAAAGATTTGGGATTTGTACCTAATTGTAGCTAATGCTGTGATTTGTGGGTTTGAAAGGGATATTAAACCTCTGATTCAGGAACTAAGTCAGTTTCCACATTCTTGTTTGTTGTCTGTAGTTTTTATCTTCCACATATGCTGTTCTGTAAAGACTAAATTATACTAGTTTTTGGCTTAAAAGCATGATGGACTTATTAGAAGGATGGGAAAAAATTGCACATCATAGCTGCATCTACAAGAAAAGGTTTGTCATTTGTGACTGAAATAGATGTTGTTGCGAGCTGAATTTGTTCCATCTTCAGGCAAGTGATTAAAATTACATGGGCAAAATGAGTCTTTTGGCTCATATAATATAATATTTCATTCATATAATATTTCTGTCTCTTAGGGCTTTGAGGGTTGCTTGTCTAACTTGGATTGCACGTCTGCACATAAAAATACTGGCTGGTGTGGGCAAGCCACAGCATTCTCAGGAAGCACTGCTGTAACTGAAACAACTTATAACATGAGAGAGAGAAAGAAACAACCTTCTTCCAGATATAATACAGATTTTATAACTGCTTAGTTGTGCTGCACTGGGACATGGCAGGGAGTAGGTCAGTCCTGATTTACTCCTGAGCTGATTCTGGTACAATATCATTACTTCTGTTATCAGAAGAAATTTTCTAGTAGGCTTTCTGCAGTCCATCAGATACTTCATTGTACATGAAGTGTGTGTGTGTATATATATAATTTTAAAGACATATTTGCCTTTTTATAGGTGTCCTTGTCATCAAATTTTTCAGCATGTCGTGTGTACTGGAATCCTGCTGCTACTATGGAGAAAGAAAGTTATGTGGAAAGTGTGCTGCGGAAGAGCGCTCCACGTATACGGTACTGCTGTGGGATAAACAGGCCACTGCATAAATTCATAGCCATGGACTAGTGCCTTTTCTTAAGGATTTCTAACAGTCTATATCTGACCTATTGAGATGCTTTAGGTTTCTAGATACTTAGAATCAGAGCACCTCCTGTGATGAGCCTCACAGGGAAGGGTGGCTGCGACAGACTAAGCTGCGTATTCTCTTGCTAGAGCACAGATGGCTTATTTGGCTTCTGTGCTTTCCCAGGACTGGAATGGGCTGAGCAGAAAGCAAGAGGAGTGTGGATGAGGTTTCACTCCATTGTACTAGAGGTGGTGGGCCTGGACATGCTCTGAGTGACAGAAGGCCAGAACAGCATGCTACACAACGAACTGGCAATTCCAAGTATCTCCTTACAGATTCATTGAGCAATTCTGATTGCTAGGGACAATTTAGACCTCCAGAAGGGGTGACTAATCTTACAGAAATTCTTCACAGCACCAATTAAAAAAAAATTTCAGGATACTACCATGTATTGTGATGCTTTTACCCATTTTTTCAGCACAGAGTCCAGCGTCCAGGAAGTTTTCAGGGTATTATTGAGATTTTTGTCTCTCCCTCTTTCTTGCTTCCCCTCTGCTATCGGTTGGAAGTTCAGAATTTAACTCCATGTGGAAGGTGGCATAGGAGCATACTTGTAAAGCCTTTTGCTTTCCACGTGTTTCCCTAGGCTATGTAATTCCTGCTCCAGCACAATGCTCTCTTCTACTCCCAACAGCTTCCACTCTTTGAAAAGGAAAGTTGCTGGCTGGGAAGAAGACAAGGAGAGTCCTTTCAGTCCTTTCTGCAGTAGGATTAGTTGTCTTGCTCTGCTCTGAGGGCTCTATCCCCCACTGCTCTCACCCATACAGTGGGGATAAGGATGCCAAATGAAGTGGGGAAACACCTGTGCATATAGATAGAGACCAATCTATTATCATCAATACTAATGTCATCAATACTCAGTGGGACCTGCAGCTGGTAGTTTTTGTATGTTATGCATTCAAAATTGGGATTCTGCAGTGATGTATTGCTTAGCACTAACTTGAATAGCTACCCATCAGACTGTAAGTTTTGCAAACCATATCTTTAATGTGCAGTACTGCTAGAATTAATTTAACACATTTTACTTGTCTTGGAGATGCTCTACTGATGCTCATACTGATGAATGCTGTATTTTTGCCAGGTATCTTCTGAAGAGTCAGCAGATTGTAGGAAATGTACCCCCAATAATATTTATAAAAGACAAAGAAGCTGCAGCTGTGAAAGAGGTAATTCTATTCTTTGACTCAGTGTACAAATACGGTGACTTAGGAGAGAGCTGATCATTCAATTCCTCTACCAATCTATATTCAAAATCACTCTTTATCTGTACCCTTTCTTCTTCAAGTTCCAAAGCACTTTAACAAACAATCTTTAGTAAGGTTGAGGCTTCTATACAATGTAAAAGAATTGTAGGTTGTATCATTAGGTCAATAAAGAAATTCTAAAAAATTTAATTACCATTTTAAGGAATAGTATAGGGTTGCCTGATGTACATGATAATAGAAATGAGGTTGGAAGAGCTTTCTTCCACATTTTAAATGTTACCTGATTTAAAATTCCAGTGAATCTAACCAGTGATTTGTTTATTTTTATTTTTCCCCCCCAGTCTTTTTCCATCTGTGAATTGTTAAAATGTTTTTAGGGAAGTGCAGATCTTTACATGGGGGATGTAAGCTTCCTCATACTACATTTTTTCCTTCACTTTTAAAATTATTTTTACTATTTCACATTTTCTATCAAGGTGTTGATAGTTTTAACTACTTGAAGTATTACTAAGACAATGATGTTTCCTAGAAATTTGCTGTCATTAGGACTGTGAAGAGAGATCTCTTAAATAGTGAGATTTCCAGAACAGAAGAATGACATCAATGAGTAGAATTTAATGAAAAAGTCTCCTTAAGCTGTTGATGTGAATAGAAGTTGAAAAGAACGTGTTCACATTTCTGTGCCCTGAAGCGCCCTATTCTTACATGTGTTACTATTACAACCAATTAATTACTGTTAGTGACTTATGGGCTCCTGCAGTGTGTGTGAGCAGGGCTGGAAAGAATAGCAAGAGCTTTAGACTCTCTAGAAATGCAGTGAACTGCTTGAACTTTCTGTGGTCAAAAAAATTCAGGGTTTCACACAAGACAAGTAAAAACCCTCCTTATATTGCTTCTGTCAGGGAATGACACTGGAAAGCACTTAGATGGATCATCTTCTCCCACTTTGCAATTCATCAGATTTATGTCAACCACAGATTCAAGTAACAGGGCTTGAAATAATGTAATTGAACCTAATTTTTAAGTTTCAGAAGTCAAGGAAAGGCCATCCAATTAAACTCCTAGAATAATACACTGAATTAGAAGGGAATTAATGTAAAGAAAAGTTGCAATAAAAATTTCAGATGAGACCAAATTTTCACAATTATATACAGTCTGTAAGCACTGAATATACTAGATTTGTAGCATTTACTGGATAGGTGCCATGTTAAAGGAAGCTGGGAACTCCATAATTACGTGTAATAGAAATGCAAACTTGCAGTAAGTGGGAAGAGATGAAAAAAAATCTCATTGTAAGGATGTTACGAAAAAGGATTCGCAAGACTGAAGTAAGAGAACAAATAAACCAAAAATTACATGTCACACAAGCCCTAGCCAACTGTTTATAATGTACAAGGCAAAAACCTTCGTAGGAATTCCTGGATACATTACACTTTGACACAAACTTCCCAGGCAAAGAGTGGAAGCTGTTCCAGGCTTATTGGAATGATGGAGGAGGCTATTTTAAAATGGTTTTGCTAAATATTTCAAACATGTAGAAAATCAAATATTTGCTACTAGGTGCTTGTCTGTTTCTTTTGTAGGTGTGAACAAAGTAGATTTAATATAGGATCATTAAAATGTGTTGCCTTCATGTGTTTACAGGTCGAGGACTTATTGGCAATTGCTGATTTTGGACCTCCTGAAGAAGAAGAAATATTTGAAAATGATTCAAGGTGAATCTTTTTGTATCAGAATTGTACAAGTGCCCATTTTCATCTTTGTTGGCCAACTTAAATTGGGTATCATTTCACATGACAGAAAGTATATTTTGATTAGATATGTACGTTTTTATTATCTCAGAGTTCAGCAAATGATGTTATGAAGAAATAAAAAGTAGAGAGAGAGTCTGTTTGGAAGACCTTACCAGAAAAGTATCTCATCTTTTGAAGAGATAAGATTTTTTTATTGATTTTTTTTTTTGATGTAAGAGACTACAGAATAGCCAAGGACAAAACTGGTATGTAATCATCCCAGAAATTAAATGTAGAGGATGACGTTTTATTTTGTGACTTAGTTTCTTTACCAAAGTTACACCCATTTATTAAAATTAAGGGAGACTATTTCTTATTATGTATGCTCTGATTTACTTCCATATTTTAGTGCAGACACATTTTCATAGGCTATTTTGTCATTGGTTCTTGTACACAGGTCTGACCACAGCTTTGCAAAATATGGAAAAGGAAGGTCTATTTTGTTACATATAAGTGAACCTCTGTAAAACTGTGGAGAATGACTGAATTGTCACTTGTAACAGCACAGTGTGTATTCTTTCAGAGGCACCCATAAGGTGGTATCAGAACACAGTCTTAGAAATCAGCTGTGTTTCATGTCTATACCTTGAGTGACATAGTCATCAGATTTGTTACTTGCAGACCCAATACTTGTTCTGGTATTAATATCTTGATTTTTATGAGGGAAATAAATGTAGAATTTCTAAGATTCCAAGACTTGATGTTGTTTATGATAATCAAATTTTTAAAAAATGCCTTGCAGCAGTAATATTTGTTGCTTGCTAGTAATTTTCTCATAAGAATACCAGTGCTCCTCTACTTGGCCATTTTTTTCTGGTATAAGTTTGGTGTGTTATACGTGAGTTACAAGTTTACTGACAAATCTCCCTAAGTTAATTTAGCGTTCTTCTGTGAGGGATTTTTGGCTGTTGAGAGATAGGGCTAAACAATCTATTGGAATAGTGATTTTGTGGACTGGATGCTCTCAAAGCCAACAGCCTTTGTACTTGGGTGCTGCAGTCTGTTGGTAGAAATGCCTTCTGTGCCCTGGCGTCTCACAGGATGGTTCATCGGGGCAAATCAGAAATAGCTTCCTGTGGGAAGTCATTGCTGACAGATTTCCCACATGGCACCTAACATCTTCCTCTGTGTCTTGTGGAAATACTGAAGTTCAGCATAAGGTGTCATATATACATGGGTCTGATGTCTTTTGGGCACAGGCTGCTGCTTGTCACTTCTTGGAAGAGCTGGGAAGAAGTCTTAAGTTCCTTGGGGCTCCCAGGTCCAGTGTTCACTGTGTTACCTGTGTACACCTCTTTCAAGAGACAAGCAGTTTCATCTGGAATGTCATTGTTTTATTGGCTTTCCCCCATTAAATGTGTTGACAGGCTGACAGGCTTATACACAGACTGTCCTCGGACATAAGACACAATGGTATCTCTCCCTTCGTAACATGGGTAGCACAGTGCTGAACACAGGGAATTTATAAAGTCAAACTGAAAACTCCAGTTTATTTCCATATTACTCAAGTTGTCAAAATTAGCAGTACCCCTTGAAATATGCACAGAGGGAAAACCCCCAATATTTGTTTTCTTTTTCACAGTAAACTGTTCTCTTCAGCAACTCAATCTTCAGGGCCACCCACACGGTCTAATCTGTTTGGTATTGATCATGAACTGCTGAATAAACAGATAATGGACTATAAAAGACTGAAAGTGTCAAGACATACAGAAAGTATTCCCTGGACAGAAGAGCAGGAGCAGCAGCTTTCTAAGATTCAGAAGAAAATGAGAAAGAGAAAAGCAAAGAATCCTGATGATGATGACGTTACACCACAGAAATACTTACTGGACAAATATGAGGCTGATTACTGGGATGATAACACTGGATCGGTTTCAGACTATGAGTTGGAGGATGAATTAGAGGAAGAAGTAAAGGAATTGGAGATGGATGATGACAAACATTTAAGTCATCCTGCTGACAAACTGAAATGAAGTGAAAAAGCCACTCCCTTCAAAATGGAGGATACCAATAGCAAAAGAAAAAGACTGCCATAGATACTGAAAGATTGTTTACCTGTTTACCACTTCCATATGTAAGAAAAACAAAAATGCCATTTGTGACATTCTGTTAAGCACCTTTCAAGCTGCTACAGTTGTGGAACTTTGAACAAGAGAGCAATTTTATAATAACATACACCAATTGCAGCACTGAGGTAAAACTTCTTGCAGTTGTGCTGATTATTTCCAATAAAATTATGGTTTCTATATTGCAAGAAGATGCCTTTTTCTTATCACAAAGTGATGGTGTCATTCTGAGGTCAGGAAGGAAGAAGGAAGCAAAATAATGACAGTGCTGTTCAGGCTTCAGCCCACAAAGACCAGGACAGGGTATTCTCTAGAGGACCCAGTCTATAGGAGGGAACTCCTTCTACAAGGTGAAACTCATTGGAATTATGGCCAGTAATTACAAATCTGAAAGAAAATAAATTTAGAAAATTACAATTGTGCAAGGGAAACTGCAGCCAGAAGAGAATGGAGAACTGTTCATCCCTTGGGTAAAATTAGGCAAAACATTGACTGTGACTTAAAAAATGTATTAACAACTCAAAAAGTTGAGAAAAAGCAGCAGGGAAGAATGCCCCAGTAACTGTTTGAGATCTGAAAATGAATAGGAGATTGTATAAAAAGTGAGAATAAAGCTTTCTGACTCAAGCACGTAAAAATAACAGCATGACTGTGTAAATTCAGAAGGGCACAAGCTTCAAAGAAATTATAATGAACAAGGCAGTAAAATGGAATTCTATGAGAAATACAGAAAATTTAATTCCTTTAGTTAATGGAGAAGGAAAGAAAGACAACACAGGGGAGGTTACACTCTAGTAGAATCACAGAATGGTTTGAGTTGGAAGGGATCTTAAGGATCTCAAGGGATCTCAAGGACACCTTCCACTAGACCAGAGTCCCATCCAACCTGGCCTTGAACACTTGCAGGCTTGGGGCATCCTCAGCTTCTCTGGGCAATCTCTTCCAGTGTCTCACCACCCTGACAGTGCACAGTTCCTTCCTCATATCTAATCTAAATCTACTCTTTCCATTTAAAACTGTTACACCTTGTCCTATCACTACCTTTAAAGAACACTGCAACCATCAGTCACAATCAATGTGGATTTCATATAGAAAAAGTCCTGTTTAAGTAATTTAGTATCCTTTTATAATAAGGTCACCTACCTAAGGCATGAAGGGAAAGTGGTGGATGTAGTTTTTCTGGGGTTTTGCCAGGCTTTTAGTATTGTGCCTCACAGAATACTTTGGGACAAGTTGTCCAGCTGTGGGATGAGCAGGTTCATGGTTTACTGGGTGAAGAACTGGCTGAAGGGCAGAGCTCAAGGGTTTCAGTGAATGGGGCTATATCTGGCTGGTGGCCAGTCCCTTGCGGGGGATCAGGGATCAGTTCTAGGTCAAATTCTGTTCAGTATATTTATCAGTGATTTGGATGCAACACTTGAATGCACCATTAGTAAGTTTGCTGATGATACCAAACTGATCTGGATAGATTGGAGCACTGAGGAAGGAGTAATACCAGGCACAAGTCTAAACTGGGAGAAGATTGGCTGGAGAGCAGTCCAGCAGAAAGGGATCTGGGGTTGGTGGTTGGCAATAGGCTCAATATCAGTCAGCACTACGTGCCTGAGCAGCCCAGAGGGCAAACCATGTCCTTGGATACATCAAATACAGCATCACCAGCCACTCAAAAGAGTTGATTATCCTGCTGTATTTGGTGTTGGTGTGGCCTCACCATGAGTATTGTGTGTGGTTCTGGGCCCCACGATTTCAAAAGGTTGTGAAGGTCCTTGAATGCATCCAGAGGAAGACACGAAAGCTGGTGAAAGGGCTCCTGTGAGGAGCAACTCAGGACACTGAGTTTTTCATATTAGGAGAGAAGGAGGATGAGGGGCAACCTCACTGCTCTCTACACCTTTGTGAGGAGGGGAAGGGGAAAAAGGCCCCTCTTTTCCCTGAGACCCAGTGCCAGGTCATGTGGGAACGGCTCAAAGCTATGTCCCTCAGAGGAAGTTCAGACTTGACATGAGGAAACATTTCTTTACCCAGAGGGTGATCAAACCCTGCTGCAACAGGCTTCCAAGAGAGGTGGTCCATACCCCAAGCCTATCAATGTTAAAGAGGCATTTGGAAAATGCCCTTGCCTTTTAGCAACGATGCTTTTTAGTTTGGTCAGCCCTGAAGTGGTCAGGCAGTTGGACTCAGTGCTCATCCCTTCCAGCTCAGCTCTTTGATTCAATTTGATTTGTTTTGACTCCTGTTGCTCTCTCCTCCTTTCCCTACCAGTACATGCTGAGAAAATCTTTGATGACATTTCTTCCCAGCCCTGCACTGGAGAAGGGATGGAATGGGCTGCCATGTCCCAGCCTGGGCATTGGCTCTGTCACTTTGTGGCAAGGAGGCATGTACCTTCTGATGGGGGTGAGAGCTGTGCATCATCTTGAGATGATTTGTCCATTTAAACACATTTGCAAAAAGCACATGGAAACTTTGTATTTTGAAAGTCTTCTATGTTTATCCAGTTTAGCTGGATCTCCACAGGATGGCAAACCCCATGTCTCTGACACTAGGAGACCAAAGATCTGGGCTTTAAGATCAAGCCCTCAGTCTGGAGCAGGAGGTGCTCCAGAACTTAATGGTTACAAACCATTTGATGTGAGCAATACATGTTCATTTTCCTGTGGATTTTTTTTTTCTCCTTGTACTCAGCAGTAGAAATGCCTGAGCTGTTTCCCTTGGAAACACGTTAAACACAAGACCCAGATATGGCATACAAAATGTGCTCCAGTCACAGGGTAAAACTTTCAGAGATCATTGATGACTTTAATCTTACTGAGAGCTGTCTACCTCCATTCATGTGGAAATGTTCAAAATTTAACCAAAAGCTTGGTAAATCTCTTATTCCCTTAGAATTTAGTATTTTGAGTCTTGAAAGACGAAGGAACGTACTATTCCTGCAATTTTCTACATTGGGTACAAAATTAGTATGTACATTCAGACTATGTAAATAAGGGCATTTCTACCACAGATGTTCACCTGATTGTGGTGATGCCAGAGCTGAAAGAGAGGGTTTTGGTTCCTTCTGCATGAACTCTGCAGAGATGTAGAGAGCATGTGTGATTTCCACACCGTTCCTTCACAATGCACCAAGGGACATTTGCTACTACACTGTTGATGGTGAGGTCTTCCTTTTGGAAAGAAGTACTGAATTGTTTTGTGTTCTTGACCATCATTTTCCTTGTACTTCAGTAGCTCTTTTTCTTCTTTGGACTTCATCCTTGCTACCTTTCTTGAAAATAATGGCAGCCCTCTCAGCCTTTGTCTTGCTCCTGCTAGTCATCTTCTTATTCTATAGGCCCTCCATGCCCTTACTCAACTGCTTAGTCTTTGTTTGCCTTCACCCCAGGTAAAATTTCTCCTTCTTGAACCTGAGGAATAAGAAATGTCTGCAGTGGTACAGGTGAGTAGAAAAATAAAGAGCACATGCTTAGTGAGGGGTGGTTGTACCTTGGATGTGGGTAGCTTTTGGGGTGGAGGTGTTTTTTGGTATTATAATGAGCAAAGTTCATCCACAGGACATGATTTTACCATAAAATTAAGCAATTGCTCGTTCAGCAACCAATATATCTCTTATGTGGCAGATGCTATGCGGTTTATCAGCTACAGGGTATCATTAACTTCCCATACTTGCAGCGATTCACAACAGAGCCTGGCTGTGGTGTCTCCACTCTGCTCCACCCTCCGTTCTATTTCTCCTAAGGTCAGTGCATCAAGCTTCCCTAGTGCTGCCAACAACTAAGGTTGCAGGCCATCTTGCTCGGGTAACAGATTCCTTACATGCTAACCACATTCCACTCTGGAAGTTTCCTTAGGATTACAACTTCTCCTAGGATGTGGATATAACTTTAGTTTCAATAATTTTCCCCCAGTAATTCTAGTAGTAACTCCACACCCTGTGACCTGTTCATGCCTCTAGGGACATTTGCCTACTCCCATATTTCCAGGCTGGAGCAGAAACCCATGGTGCTTTACCTGATGTTGTTCTACCTATTTCTACAGTGCAATTCTTCAAACCAAGTTCTTATCATAGGGTCTAACTCTCCTGTCAGAGCTTCAGCTGGTATGGAATATTTGGGCTGTAGAAACAGATCGTGAGATCCAGGTTTTTTGTTTCATGGGTGCCATGAAATCCAGAATATGATGTGGACAAGGAAACCTGCTTTTCTTGAACAATGGTTTTCTGCAATCTAAATTCAAATGACCTGACCATGAACTTCATTCATTCATATATTTGATGGCAACAAAGCCTGAAAGGTGGAGTCTGAGAGATGTGTAAATGAGGCTTCCACCCATCGGTAGCCCACTGGAGTCCAGTTCCATGCTGTCACAACCAGCAGATCCAGCCCTCTGCCAGCTGGGTGAGCAACGGTGTGAGTGGGCTTCCAACATGAAGGAATTGGATGTCTTCTCCCAGAAAAGAAAATAACTACAGCTGGAATTAACTGAATTTCCATTTTAGAAGTTTCCTTAGAGAAAGTGTCAGCCACTGAGAAAGCTCCAGGAGATGAAACACTAGTGGGTCAATGTGATGCAGTTTGTGGCACTGCTGTCTGTAGGGATAAGCTCCCATTTAGAAAAAATTCAACACGGTGACCATTAGCCTGCTCCTGATAGTTATACTCTGAATATGGTCGCTGGCCAGCTGAAAGTGAGAATTGCAGTAATCTGCAGAATTAGCGTTAAGTGTCCTACTCTTAAAATTAATTACTTTTATTGCTACATCTGCCTCTTGATATCTTTTTTTACTGGAAGTGTCAGTTCTGTCTGATGAGCTACATATAATATGTTAGTGCTCTCCACTGACCAGTTTAGTAGTTGTAAAGCAGAGCAATAAATACGTAATTGAGGTGTGCTGAGCTAACATTCTTGGATGACTTGGAGGACTGTGAATACAAGTAACATAAGTTCAGGAGAACCCATGGATTGTCCTCTCCTAACTAGTTTTATTTTATTTTGTGGGGGTTTTAGGTAGGTGATAATCCAGTAAAGATATTCCACCAGTTGTTTCTTCCCAGGAACACTAGTGACAGCTAGGTTTGTGCCAGTCATGTGTTTAGAAAGGCTCTACACAACTTTGCACAAATTATTTCTGTTCTCAAATGGCCATCCCTACAACCCTCCTTAAATCTCTCATACACAGATAAAAACACAA